CTCTCTCCCTTTAAAAAAGCGGCTATTTCCTCTGCTCGCTCTCTTCACTTCCTGCTCCGCCGGAGACTAGACTCCCTTCCTGGTTGTGCGGATGGCTGTTGTCTGGGACGGTGATCTGTAAGTTTTCCCCTTTAAATAAATAACACCCTATTAATCATAACTCCAAACTGGTGTGGCCTTGTTCATGACTTACGCCTTAGAATGTTGTATACACAATAAATAAATAAATTAAAAAAAAAAAAAAGAGTTGGGGATGATAGTGGAGACAGCAGGTTCAGGAGGGCAGAGTTCCCATTTTTCAATTTTGAGGTGCTAGGGAGTGAATCCAAGCTCAGGAGGTGAGTGGGGCAGTGCTCAGGACAGGCCTGGGAGCTGCAGGGTATCTCGACTCCCCACTGAGCTGGATCTTAGCCCCCTAGTCAGCAATCTCTCCCCAAGGGAGTGCAGCCAGAGCCCAGGCAGAAAGCTTGTAGTCCAGTGTACTTCAGTGTTGAGAAGTTGGGGAGATGGGGAAACCAGCAGGCAGACTGGAACCACAGCCAGGAAGCCAGCAGCAGACAAACTGCAAGGCCAAGAGGAAATGTTTTAAGGAGGTGGAAGCTACAACCCACGACAAATGCTGCTAATAAGTTGTCACGTGAGGACGGTGAACTAACCTATGTTTAGCAACATGGAGGTCACTGACTGGCCACAGCAGTCGTGGTCTAGTAGGAAGTGTTGGTCTGTCTGCCGTGTGTTCAAGTGAGGATTGGTAGAGAGGAGCTGGGTGCTGGGGTAGGCAGGGTTAAAAACTGCTGATAACCTGCATCTGGGTTAAGAGCTCCCCTGTATATCGAGGTGCATCCTCTATGGAGACACAAAACCAGACTCATTCTCTAGTCTGTCTCTGGTGTGTGAGGACAACAGTAGCTCTTTCTGCTGCAATGTCAGCTACTTTGGAGCCTGGCCCTAGAAGTCTCCTGAGAGTTCTTCAATGCCCTTGCCCCTTTGGCTGGAGGCAGCTGCAGGTAGCCTTAAGGGAATAACAGAACATCTTCTGTCCCTCCCTAGTGTCCTCTTGAGAGGACAGAAATGACTTCCTTATGCTAAGTCGCTTGGCAACCCTAAGCAAGCACCAGTGCACCTGTACTGCAGGTAAAGCCCGCCTTCTTGGAGAACTCAAGCCCCATCTCGGGAGTTCAGTCTTAGCTGACTGGCCCAGAAATGGGATCGTGTAAATCCTCTTGCTTCTCCCAGGACTCCATGACTGGACAGCCTTGGAGGCTGAGGGTGTGTGGTGGTGTGGATCCTCTGAAGGGTATGATCCTATGTGCTGAAGGGAACAAACAGGAAAGGCCTAAAGAAACCCCAAAAGATGGGGAGAGGCAGAGAACAGGATGATGCCAGCCCCCCCCTTTTTTTTTAAATAACAGTGAGCATCAACAGATGGTCTTGAACTCACAATTCTGCTTTAGTAGATTTTCAGGGTCAAATTCTGTCTATTTTTCTTGACACCTATCACTGTTAGCACATTCCTTTTGTTTGTTTGGTGCTTCAAGACAGGGTTTCTCTGTGTAGCCCTGGAACTCACTCAGTAGACCAGGCTACTACTTCCCAAAAGGTCTACCTGCTTCTACTTCCCAAGTGCTGGGATTAGAGGCCACCCAGCTTTTCTTCCCTTTTATTAAGACAAAGTCTCATGTAGCCCGGAAAATTCTATGTAGTTGGGGATGATCTTGAACTTTTTTTTTTCTAAAATTAAATTATTCATTGTTGTGGAACATTATTTTAACTATGTAAAGGTGTGTTACATTTGTTTCTCCTCCACTTGTTTAACTATGTGAAGATTGTTGTTCTACCTTTCCTGCCTAAGGTGCCTGACTGGTCTAATAAAGGCTGAAAGGTCAATAGCTAGGCAGTGGAGGGATAGGTGGGGCTGGTGGGCAGACAGGATAAATAGGAGGATAAATCTATGCTTGAGAAAGAACAAGAGAACAAGGGAGAAGAGATGCCTGGGACCAATCATCTGACACGGAGTAGGAAGTGCAGAATGAAAGGTAAAAAGTCCCAAGGCAAAACACAGATGAAGAGAAACAAGTTAATGTAAGTTATAAGAGCTAGTGGGACAAGCATAAAGTCAAGCATTCATAACTAATAAGTCTCCATGTCATGATTAGGGAGCAGGATGGTGGCTCAAAAGAAACCTGCCACAATTCATCTTATTTATGTGTCAGTGTTTTGCCTGCATTTGTATCTATGCACCACTTGCCTGTCTAGTGCTCTTGGAGGTCAGAAGGCATTGGATCTCCTGGGACTGCAGTTATGGATGGTTGTGATCCACCATGTGGGTGCTGGGAATCAAGCCCAGGTTCTGAGAGCAGTGAGTGCTCTCAACTGCAGAGCCACCTCTCCAGCCCCTTGATTCTGAACTCTTGACCCTCCTGTCTTTATCTTTCAAGTGCTGAGATTACAAGCGTGCACACCACCACATCCACTTTTACAACTCGCTGGAGATCAAGCCCAAGGCCTCATGCGTGCTAGACTAGCACTCTTACCAAGTGATTTATACCCTCAGCGCTCAAAGTGTTTCTGCCTGTCATTTCACCTAAATGAGCCTCCCTGGAAAGATAGCCGTTAAAACAGCAGTGCACATTTAGGACTCTGTCCTAAGGAAATAGTACACCGTTGGTCAAGTGAACAAAGAGGCAGTTCACTGCAGGTACAGGGGTACAGCTTGGTGGCAGGGTGCTTGTCTGGCATGCACAAAGCCCAGGGTTCAACCCCAGAACTGAAGAACAAGTAAATGGAAATCTTCACTGCAGAGTTGTCAATCTCAAAGAAAACGACAAAATGCTCGTCATTGTGGGACTGGCTGTCTATCTACTCATCCAATAGAGGCTTATGTTGAGCACTCACTGTGGACAGAACAGTGCACTGGGCATTGAGAGCCCATCAGTAAATCAACAAACCAAGCTTTTGCTCCCACGGACTGTCAGTGTGGGCTGGACAACACCCACATGCACACTTAGGCCCAACAATGAGCTGCCCAATATGCGTCCTGGGAAAGAAACTTTGGTCCTCTCCAAAGCAGCAAGCATTCTTGACCACTGACAAATCTCTCCAGGTACTCCTGTTCCATTACGTGCCCTTTGTGTTTTCAAGATGTTCATCTAGATTTAAATTATGGATGTACGTGTGTGTGCACATGTGAATTATTTATTTCTCCTTCTACGCACACACTGGCAACGTTCCTACTTCCTATTGTCTCCCTGGCCTGGCATTCAGAAGGCACTCAAGGGACACTTGCTGAACAACCAAGTGAAGGACAGAGGCTATCTAGGCAACTGCTCCACCCCTGCAGTTCCAGGAAGAAGGAGCACAGGGTGCAGCCGCTCTCTGGGCTGAACTGTGAGAGAAAGGGATGCTGGCTGTGCAGAGCGAGGCTGGTCAGAACTCACCCGCACAAAGGACTGCTTCTCTCCACAAGCCTTGCATGTCCATTTGAGACTCTTTTTCACCTACGAGGAAATTTTAGAAATTAGAGCTCACACAACTGCATACAACTAGATGGAACTGAATCAGAAATAACTTAGCTGTACCACCAGCCCTGAAGGTAGTATTTTAGGTGAGGGGTGGGGATGTACTATTTAATAGGTGGGTGCTGGGAAAATTGGTCATTTGTATGAAGCAAAACCCAGTTAGATTTTTCACCTTAGGGTCCAAAAAAGAAGGGAGGGAGGGAGAAAGAGGAAAAAAAAAAAAGAAACAGAGGGGCTAGAGAGATGTTTCAGTGGGCAAAAAGAACTTGTTGCACAAACATGAGGACCTAAGGTCAGATCTCAGCACCATGTGAAAAACTGGATATAGCCACATGAGTCTGTATTCCCAGGACTGTTGAGGGTGGAAACAGGACCAGTGGGGATTGCCAGCTGCCAGCCTAGCTCCAGGTTCAGTAAGAGACCCTGTATCAGAGAAATAAGGAGGAATGACATAGCAGAACTAATGTTTCCTTCTGGCCTTCACATGTGCGCGCACACACACACACACACACACACACACACATTCTCTCTCTCTCTCTCTCCAGTGCTCAGTGGCAGCTAGCATAACCAGGCTCTGGAATTAATCTCCAACAAGGAAAAAAAAAATCCATAACAGAGCTAGAGATATGGCTCAGTGGTTAAGAGAACTGGCTACTCTTCTGAAAGGATTCAAGTTCAGTTCCTAGTTCCCATGTGGCAGCTCACACCTGTCTGTAACTCCAACTCCAGATCTAACATCCTCTTCTGGCTTTTGTGGGTACCAGGTTGCACGTGGTGCAGACATACATACATGTAGGCAAACATTCAAACACGTAAAATAAAAATCCTTTTTTGTTTTTTGTTTTTCAAGACAGCGTTTCTCTGTGTACCCCTGGCTGTCCTGGAACTCGCGTGTAGACTAGGCTGGCCTTGAATTGAGATCCCTGCCCCTGCCTCCTGGGTGCTGAGATTATTGCCAGGCAATAAATCTTTTTTTTTTTTTAAATAAAAATACCAAAGTTGCTTGGTGAAATATCAAGAAATGTTATGCTTAACAATACAAAGAGATCTGAGCTGACTCATAAGGCTGCTGTGACTGGCATAGCATGGAGTCATAGATGTGTAATTGAAGTACCTGGGAGGCTGAGGCAGGGGGATTAGGAATTGTGGGTCAATCTAAGGTAAATACTGAAATTATGCCTTTAAAACACCTTCAAAACCAAACCAATCCCTCTCCAACAACAAAACCACTATCAGCAAGACTATGGTTGAGACTGGACATATAGCTTAGGAGTAGAGAACTTGCCTAAAAAGGCCAAGCAAGGCAGCTTGAGGTACAAAACAAAACGTTTCAAAGAAACACCAACCACTGTTGTGTTTAACTAGGTATCAGTGGTGCAGGCCCCAATGAGCAGAGAGGTGACTATTTCCCCAGAGATGAAACTGCAGACAGAGGCACCAAGCTACACCCAGACACACCCATGTCAAATGGGTATCCAAACTTTTGGGTTTTTTTTTTTTTTTAAGTTTTTCTAGACAGGGTTTCTCTGTAGCTTTGGAGCCTGTCCTGGCACTAACTCTTGTAGACCAGGCTGGCCTAGAACCCACAGAGATCCGCCTGCCTCTGCCTCCCCAGTGCTGGGATTAAAGGCGTGCGCCACCACCGCCCGGCCCAAACTTCTTATATAGTATCCAGGTTTGTTTTGAGATAGGATCTCTAGAATTCCTAGTTGGCCTCAAACTCGCTAAAGCCTCCTACCCCCGGGGCGTGCATTGGCACACCTACAGTAAGAGGCTCTTAGGCAGTGTGAATGCTAGACAAACACCCCACCTAAGGAACAGCATCCCAAGTCTAGAGTTTCAACTGTCCACTCACTGTAATTAAACCGGGAAGAGCCATGAGTGAGAGGCTAGGTTCTACATAAAGGAAGTTCCTCCTCAACCCGGGTTCGTGACTGACCGCTGCTAGGATCCACTAGAAGCCGCCTCAGCAGAAACCATTACTGTGGTTTCTACAACGACCACGCAAAAAATAAAAACGATACACAAGGGGCTGGGCGATAGCGCGCCCACAGTCCGGTGTAGAACCCTTAGCAACAACAAGAAAAAGAAACAGACAAAATGGCCAAAGACACTTTGTAAAATGACGGCGAAGAAGCACAGCCCTCAGCCTCACTGTCACTTCCCAAGGCCATACGAGACGCAGCCCGCCACATCTCGCCCACCATCCTGCGAAGAAAAAGGGGGAGGCAGGCGCCCACCCCACCTGATGCGCCTGAAAGAGGTGGCAGCTGCAGCACCGCAGGACCCGAGACTGCTGAGAGGGCGCCATTCAGGCCTCAGTCTCCCGCCGAACGTTCACACTCCGCGTGCCCGCCCAGGCCCCGCCCACCCTATGACGGTTCCGGCCCCTCTAGCCGCAGCACCACCTCGCTTGCTCCAGCGCGTCTCGCAGTCCCTCCAGACAGCGTTGGCCCCGCCCTTGCACTCTCTGGGCCGCTCTAGCGCTCCCCCATCTCGATGGTCACTGGGGCCGCCATCAAGCCTCAAAAAGAAACCGGTGTTCCTGTGTTTGGACTTCTCTAGTCTTTCACCTTGGCCCTCTGATTTCGAGCAGTGACGATTGTTTTCTGTCTTTCTGGGCCATCAGCTGTCACCTGCCTCCTTTGCCTGCATCCTTCTCCGCCCCTGTGAGGCAAAAGGGGCGTGAGCGCTGTAGCTGGGGTTTGCAGAACATTTGAGCCAGGGTAGGTTAGTCTTTGAGCCAGACTCCGAAGATGCCTGAGAACAGATAATTCTGCAAACACTGGCTAGGTCCAGCTGGGAACGAGAACAGCCCTATGCTTCAGCCCCTGGACAAAGCTTCACTCTGGAAGTCAGAGGAGTAAAAGTCACACGGGTTTTGTTTCAAGGCCCACCAGCCAGCCAGACACTATAAACTATCTTTTGTTTTGTTTTACATTAAAGCTGGTGCGTGACCGTAAGCTCAGCACTCACAAGGTGGAGGCAGGGGGATGACAAGTTAAAGGTCATCTGCTAGAGTTTGAGGCCAGCCTGGGATGGATACGAGACCCTCAGTGTTGTAAGAAAATGGATGGAAATAATAATATCTGTATTATTATATGTTATAGATATTATATATCTGCATCTCTATATATTTATATGTTCTTTTTTGTGGTGGCGAATTTGTAAATCCAACTTTCTGGTAATTGAAGTAACAATAAACATTTCTTGCATTACCCTCCCCCCCCCCAAAATCCTGCCCGTATCATTTCTCTGAGGCAGTGACTGGAAACTGGCTTTCTCTCTAATCCCATTGCCCATTCCTGCAGTAGGAACTAGACATGATGTGCCCCTGACCACATCTGTCACACTGACCCGTTTAGAAACTCATTTTTTTGTTGCCAGGTGGTGGTGGTGCACGCACGCTTCAATCCCAGCACTCGGGAGGCAGAGGCAGGTGGATCTCCATGAGTTTTGAGGCCAGCCTGCTCTACAGAGTGAGCTCCAGGATAGGCTCCAAAGCTACACAGAGGAATCCTGTCACAAATCCCACTCCCCAAAAAAGGAGAATAAAAAAATTCAGGGTCAGTGGGATGGCTCAGTAGGTGTCTTAGTTCTACTGCTGTGAAGAGACACCATGACCAAACCAACATTTTTTTTTCTTGGTTTTTCAAGACAGTTTTCTCTGTGTAGCAATGGTTGCCAAGGCAGTTCTTATAAAAGAAAACATTTAATTGGGGACTTGCTTACACTTTCAGGGGGTTAGTCCATGACTAGCATGGCAGGAAGCATGGTGCAGGCGAGCAGGCATGGGCCTGGGAGCTTTACATCCTGATCCACAGGCAGGCAGAGGAAGAAATGGGGTCTGGTATGGGCTTTAGAAACTATTCCCAATAACACACCTCCTCCAATAAGGCCACACTTCCTTGATGTGGGATCCCCCTCTGTATGCTGTGAATATGTTTTATAACCATTGGTTAATAAAGAAGCTGTTTGGCCTATGGCAGGGCAGAATACAGCTAGGCAGGAAAACTAAACTGAATGCAGGGAGAAAGAAGGTGGAGTCAGGCAGGTGCCATGTAGCTGCCGAAGGATAAAGATGCCAAAACCTTACCACTAAGCCACAGCCTTGTGGCAATACACACAGGTTAATAGAAATGAGTTCATTTAACATGTAAGAGCTAGCTAGGAATAGGCCTAAGCCATTGGCCAGTGTTGTAATTAATATAGTTTCTCTGTGATTATTCGGGTCTGGGCGACTGGGAAACGAAACAGCAGTCTCAGTTTATACTTCCTTATCAATCAAACAGTTCTACTACCTGGGAACTAAGTATTCAAACATATGAACCTATGGGAGCCATTCTCAAACTTCCACAGTGGGTAAAAGTATTTGCTGTTAAACCTGACCTGAGTTTAAGACCTACACTGTGGAAGGACAGACCCAACTCCTGTAAGTTGTTTCCCTGCACCTCACATGCTCACTCATGTGTGTGCTTGTGCACACATACACACACAGATTAAATAAAGGAATGTGTGTATGCATGTATATAGTTGTTTGTTTTTCGAAACAGGACTTCTCTGTGTAACAATCCTAGCTATCCTGGAACTCACTCTGTAGACCAGGCTGACCTCGAATTCACAGAGATCTGCCTGTCTCTGCCTCCCGAGTGCTGGGATTAAAGGCGTGTGCGCCACCACCGCCTGGTTTACTCATATTTTTCAAACCATCAATTTTGTTGGGAGATCAATGGCTGCTGGGGACTGGGAGTTGGAACAGGGATCTATTATAAGTGGATCCTAGGTATCTTCCTGGGGTGATAGAAGTGGCTCAGAATCGTGTTGAGATAACTCTGCAAGTTTACTAGAAATCACCAACTGTAATTTAAACAAATTTAAACATCTTTATTTCATATGCGGGGAATGGTATGGGTAATGGCGGTTCTGCTTCGTTACTCTGCATGACTCCCTTGAGACAGGGGCTCTTACTGAACCTGAAGCTGGCTATTTGTCTGAGCACCAGTACTGGGGCACAGGTGGGCATAACAATGCCCAGCTTTTACATGGCTGTTGGGATTAACTGAAATAATACCTAATGCCATCTTATTTATTTTGGCTCTTTGAGGCAGATCTCAACATGTAGCCCAGGCTGGCCTCAAGTGAAGCAATCGTTTTGCCCCATTCTCAAGTGCAGGACTACAGATGTGCCGCCACATCTGGCACTACCACATCTTTAAAAACCCCAAGATTCATTTATTATAGAAGCGAGAGCAGCTCACGGGCAATGGATGCTTATGATCCGCTTCTGCTCCCCGAACAGAGCCAGGTTACCTCATAGCTGAGTCCTACTCTGGCTCAACCCAGCAGGTTCCCCTCTGGCCATGTGTGGCTGTGAATCCGAGGGCTGACAACTTGGAGTGGTCCAGGCCTGAGGATACGTCTATTACACTGCACACACCTTTGGACATTGAACCTAAGACCTGTGACCACCGTTACCATACACCGCGGAGGGTCTTGCAATTCCCCCACTTACTATGGCAGCCAGGTACCCTGAATGCCCAAAATGCTTGCTGGGCCACACGAAGGCACCGCACACGGCGTTGCTTTCTCTTTCTTTTAGGGATTTATTAAGGCATTGAGCACAGTGTGAGTTTTAGCCAACTAAGATGAGGGCGAGGGAATAGAGGAGGACCTGAGGGATTTCGTAAGTTAATGACATGGAGGAATGGAAACCTCATAAATTAGGAGTATAATGCAAAGCTTCTGCCAGGACAACAGGCACCGAGTTCCTCAGTCCCAAGACCATGGCTCAGGCTGACCAACTTCAGAGGGTGCCTAGAAGTTCCAACTTTTGGAGCCCAAGCACATGACCAAGTGACAACTGGTAGCCAGGCCACGTGGCTGTAGGTCTTTCCATAAATGGAACAACTGGTGTAGTGTGTGCATAGCATGGGTTTGCAGACCAAGAAACAGGCAGGGGCAGATCCAAAGGCCTCTAATGCTATGGAACGGCAGGCTCAAGGCAGGTTCTCCAGGCTCCCAGCCACAGGGAGGAAGAAGGTGCCCTGGCCCAGGGGATCCTTGTAAGGCAACTGAGTCTGCATTGACCTGACCTTTGCTTCTGTGACACCCTGCTTCAAGAGCAGGTGTGTCTTCAAGGAGGAAACAGACAGGGATAAAGGGAGGAGACAGAGACCAGCTTCCATTCCACAGCTCAGCCTGAGACCCCAGGGGGCTCGTGGTCACTGGAGGTGCTGAACTGCCTCTCCACCTTCTTTTGGTCCTTGATCTTGAGTCTGATGTCCACCCTCTTCTCAAAGAAGTTCACCAGCACGGACTCTGTTAGGATGGAGGCCAGGATCTGCTCGAAGGAAATGCACCAGTCTGTGTCCACAGTGCCCCCGATACGTGAGGTGGCGGTAGGGCTGCAGGCTTCCCCTCCCACCAGCACGGTGTCATCTGTGAGGTCCTCACACTGCAGGGAGCCTGTGCTGACGACAGAGTAGGAGGACATGGACATGTCGTCTTTGGTTTCGTCATCAGACAAAAGTAGGGAAGGAGAGCCCTGCCCCTCGCCACTGCCACCCTCCGCTATCACATGACTGTCATGCAGAGCTTTCCCCAGATGAGTGTCCCCTGCCGCTGGTGGATGGCATTCCTGTGTTGGGTCTTGATGAGGTTTGGCTCTGGGTGGCTCATCCTCCTCTGTGGCACTGTTGTGGTCTCCACTGTGGGCACCGTTCCTGGGCTTCTTGGCTGTCCGGGCCGAAAATTTCTTCCCCACCTCGCCAATGCGGAGGAGAAGGCTGGCCACAGTGGCAATGGCGTGATACAAGTCCTGCTCCATGGGGTCTTCGCTAAACATGTTGTAAAGTGTCTTACACAGCTCTATGAATTGCTCCTTCGGGAGAAGGCCAGAAAGAAAACAGAGGTGGTTAGAGATGGGTACCTGCGCTCTTCTAAACCAACTGGAGATACAGGCCACTCTACTTGGTGCTGGGATTTTGATGGCACAAACCCATGCCTTACCTGGGTTAGGAAAGGGGAGGGCTCCACCAAGGCCACACAGTCCTTTCAAGGCCTTTCTTCAAAGCACACCCAACCTCCTCCCTTTCTTTCTTTTTTTTTTTTTTTCCCAAGACAGGGTTTCTCTGTGTTAACAGCTCTAGCTGTCCTGGAACTCATTTTGTAGACCAGGCTGGCCTTGAACACACAGAGATCCACCCACCTCTGCCACCTGAGTGCTGGTATTAAAGGTGTGTGTCACCATCATCCAGCCACGGGTTCATTCTTAATGCCTGTGTGTAAAAGTGCTTAGAATGCAGGACCTCCCCTAAAGGGCACAGGGTGAAGTCCAAGCGGATAGTTGGTTGGGTGTTTGTGAAAACAT